TTGACACAGGCGGCAAGCAGGAGACCAATAGTAATGCAGAACTGGTAACCGGAGACGAGCGCACCACGGACCTTCTTGGGGCAAATCTCGGACATGTAGAGAATGACAATGGCAGACTCGAAACCGACACCAATACCGGCGATGGCACGACCAGCGACAAGGAGGTCACGGCCAGTGGCAGCCATTTGCAAAACAACTCCTAAGTGGGGGTTAGTGGCTTGTTTCATAAAGTAGTGCAAGCGGGGGAGTTCGTACCGATGATGTAGATGAGACATCCCAGGACAATGGTCCACTTGCGGCCAATCATATCGGAAAGGTCACCAGCGACGAGAGCACCGAAGAAAGTACCAGCGGAGAGAATGGAGACGATGAGCGAGGTGTTGCCAGAGCTGATCTTGCAGAGGCCATCGGGAGTGTCGAGACCCTGGGGGCAGATGTTGCCCTCGACCTCCTGGATGAAGAGAGGCGAGTTGAGCACACCGTTGATGTATCCGGAATCGTAACCTGGGTATGCAGTCAGCCACTGTTACTGTGGAGATTGTACAATGTTGTTGTCTTACCGAAGAAGATACCACCAAAGGAGGCAAAGGCGCAGAGGAGGTAGGCCTTCCAAGTGACAGGGCACTCAGTCATGTTGACATCGGTGGTAGCTTGGATGCCCTTGGGGTTGGCGGCCTCGTCGGCCAGGTCGTTGTTGTGGCTCATGATGGGCAAGTGCGTGGGGGTTGTACGCTGAGGGAGTTGACGAAGCGCGTTGCTTGAAGCTGTGCAGGGTAGAACTCGCACGCGGCCTTGGACGAGGAATCAGAATCCGAGATGCGGGTGAGTTGAGGGTTAATAAACAGAGCTGGAGATTTGAGATCTAGTGCAGTGCGGAACAAGTGTACCGCAGAAATGGCTAGGTAACATTGCGGCGCGACTAGTAGGGGCCCGTGCTTCCCTGCTATTGGGTGCATTAGCCTGGAACCCAGTGAAGGGTGCGCGCCACCAGCTCTCTGGGGAATGGTCGCCCGCGTTTTGCCTGCTCCAGCTTCTTCTCCAGGCCCGACTGGCCCGACTAACCTGGTAATTTGACAAGTGTCGGACCGGCATTTGCACCGGCTGTGATTTGACCTTGGCAGCCAGAGCACAGACGGTGGTTTTGCCTGTCTAGAACGCTTCTAGGTTTTCAGAGCCGCACGTGAGGTGCTCCCCGACCAAGGGTTCCCACTTCACTAGACTCCACCATCGTGGCCCATGGAGTCTCTCGTGGCCCATGGAGTCGGCTAACGTGTGTCTGGAGCAGACTGGTAACGGCGCTAACCCCCGATACCAGGTGCGCGGCGCCCTACACTCGGCTCCCTCCGCCTTCGACGCCTGCTTTCTAACATCACGATGATGCGCTGACGATGCGCCAATGGCGTGGCCTGTGCTATGCTTTTCACCACTGCAGGCCTCTTTCCCCAGACAACACCATGTGGCTGAACGCTAATGCAACGGCGGTCATGATGAATGTGAACTGCTGACGCTTGTCCGCCATGGACGCCTAACGGCCAATACGCGACTTCGCTGGCCTTCGGAGCTCCTAATTAAGCGCGCAGTGTGGCACGAGTCACTCTCATTAGCCCAACACCACCAACCCCAGCCTCCGCTCCTGTCCCGACGCTGGAAACGTCCAACCGGGGCCGCCCTTGATTAGTGCATGTGGTCACGATGCACGGTCAGGATGTCTGACCCAGCGACTGCGAGAGATCCAAATCCAGTCCCTTCGCTGCGGGAGGAAAATGTGGTAGCGATGATGGCGAGAAGGCTGTCGCTACCGAGGTGGTTCGTTCACGTGGGTCGCTCGCTGTCAATCACGCGGAGGTCTCCCCATGGTTTCGATCCGACGGCCCACAACCCTGATTGGCCATGCCCTGCGCTAGCGCCTACCCCGACGAAGCTTGACGCGGAAAAGAATTCAGCCCCGACATAGCACGAATCGCCGAAGAGAAAATCTTCAGGCGCGGCATCTGAGCTCTGAGGTACATGACAAAGCGACATCGCGTACCCCGACATTCATCGTCCGCATGTTCTTCTCCACATTGTCGCCCAACGCACTGCTGCTGCTTCGCTACCAACTTTTCTCGCGTTCCCGCTGAGATGTCACCACCCCACAACTCGTACCGACTATGCAAACTTTGTGCGACAGTGGTGGCCTCAGCCGCAGCTCTCCTTGTGCAGGACTTCATTGTTACACGAGAAGCCTGTCAGACGCCGGGGTGCAATGCCTCAGTTCGTCACGATGCTCAGCTGTCATGTGCCAGCTGGCTCGCGTAGGCCTCGGGACAGGCCTCAGGACAGGACAAGGTCCTGGGTCTTGAAGGTCCTCCACCGTTTTGTGGCATCTTTTGGGAAACTTGAGTTGGGTCTCTCAAGATGGTCAACACCGTTGGATTTGGCTCTGAACGCTTCTGGCGGCTCTTGTGGTGCCATGGTGTAGTACTGTGTTTCCTAATAAGTATCTGGGGCTCCGCGAGCGACTGCAGCACATCTGCAACATTGCGGGTATCGAAGACTGATCTTGTAGGAGTATTGGATGCTCATTTGCCAATCTTCAACGTCGACTTAGGCCCCTGTCTTGTCTCCAGAACGAGATATTGATGCAGCAAAGCTGACCAATAGGCACGAGCTCGGCGGGGTAGCCTGCATTGCTTCCTCCAGCCTTGCGCAACTGCCTTATCGCCACTACATCCTACACATCCTCTATCCACTTCGCAGAAGTGAACCAATTTAGCTTCATGGCATGGCACGATGCGAGCTGCGCAGACCTGCATCTGGAGTGGGAAGACGGACGCCCTGGGTGCCGCACTTGCCAGCGCAGGGCGCCCGAGCTAACGCCTATCCACCCGATTTCACCGCCCGCGCCTCCGCTACATACTTCACGATCACAACTGGTGTGCACATGGCCCCCACGAGTCTTTTCCAATCTCATTCGCGACGAAGACCAGGGCTACGCTGCAGCGTCTGGCCATGACTATAATGAAGAGCAAAAGCTGCGAGCATTCATATGTGCCAACATTGATGAATGGACTGCCAGCCATGCGAGCCAGGAACCTGAACCCTCGTTGTCGCGCAACCGGGAGAGCTTGCAGCAACAGGTGCGCCCAGAGCCGGTGCTACACAAGATTTATTCCCGCCTTCCTGCGACTGATTCGATTCGTCTTCTTTGCCTGCATGGCAGCAAAACCAAGAGCGACCCTATTCATTGCTCGTTACTAGTCTATGGGCTTCGCGATCAGAGCCGACCAATCTTCGAGGCTTTATCATACACCTGGGCAGACTCCGATGGCAATTCAGCCCTGTGCGAGACTATCTTCGTCGGTCCAAATTACGACACTTGTCTCGTGACGAAGAACTGCATGGCAGCACTACAACGTTACCGGATTGCTGTCGACCGGCTTATCTGGGTAGACGCCATTTGTATAAATCAATTTGATCTGGAAGAGCGTGGGCAACAAGTGTCACTCATGAGGGAAATCTACGAGTCCGCGTCGAGGGTTCTTATATACGCGGATGATGAGAGTGCCAAACATGTCCCCATTCCAGACTTTACTGATGATAACCACATGACCTCAGTGGATCCACGATACATCTTGCAGATACCCTACTTCTCACGCATCTGGGTAATCCAAGAGGTCCAGCTTAGCAACAAAGCCACCCTCACGATTGGTGACGCCACGATAGACTGGGGCCTCTTTTTGAGATATCTAAACAAGTACAGAGATAAGACGCTCGAGGGTACGGGTGAGTGGAAGCACGAGGGTGGGGGCGAGGGAAAGTACGGATATGGGCGCGAGTGGAAGCGCGTGGGTGAGCGCGAGGATAAGCGCTGGGAGCAGCATTGGGTGGAGTACCTCAATATCGAACGAAGCGACATGAGCATCATATCGCTGCTCAGAGCCACGCTGCATTGTCGATGCGGTGATGCACGCGATAGATTATATGGCTTGTTGGGCCTCACTGGTAGGGACGAGCGATCCGATCTTCCGGTCGATTATGGCATCAACGTTCAACAGCTCTATACAGGCTTGGCAATGTACTGGCTCACAGAATGGGGATCCTGGCCACTGCAGTCATACATATTGGATCTTGCCTTTCTTCCCAAAACTACTCCATTGCTGCCGTCGTGGGTTCCTGACTGGGACTCTCTTTCCAACATAGAGACGAGCTATGAGCATACGCCTTCAGCATCCGAAACGCTCGAATTTAGAAATACGGATCTGGGGAGATCTTCGTCAGGTCTGAATTGGCGTTGGCCCAGAAAACACGGATCTCAATATAGATGGACACTAGAAGACGTTTGCAGACCACAGGGTACAGCAAGACCATTACAAGAGGCTGGTATAATGGTGGTCGACGCTGTGCATTTACTGTCTGTTTTAAAAGACGAGATATATTTCACCGACATCAACGGTAACCCATTATATGGTCTGGGTTTCGCGGACCCCGAGAATCTTGGTCGAACAAGAATTCGCATGCCGCGCGAAGACGCTGAGTTGCATATTCTGGTCAACTGGAATCGACCCTGTCTACTGAAGTTGCACGCCAACAAAGTTTATAGCCTTGACAGCCCATGTGAAATATCGTGCGGTCTACGAGGCATTCCGACTGGTGACCCATGGGCTATCAGGCAAGACTTCACCCACCACTTCCGTCGTGAAAAATCATCCAAGGGTGATTATCTCTCAACGAAAGAAGCAGCCCTTGCGGGCTACAAGCTTATCCCGGGCTTTCGTGAACGTGGAAACATATCTGCAATATCTGGGCAGCTAGCTGGCCTTGAAGTAGAGATTGTGGAGGGTTGGCTGATCGATCTTTTATTCTTTAGCACACGTGCTGGAAGCGCATTCGCGAAGTCAATACGCGGCGCCAGCATTCAAGATCACTGGAAGCAGCATTTTCCTCTAGCGACCGCTGCTAGCCAACAATCAGATTGGTTGTCAGACGCACACGTAGCCGAAAGCCAGGAGCCGGTCGGAATGGCGGCCATCAGGGAACAGCAGGAGCGTGTCATGGCTTTTGCCTTTGAGAACGCACCACTCGGCTTCGACATCACTGAGTCCGCCGACATCACTGGATCCGCTCATCAAGAGCTAACCGAGTTGGTCAAGAAGATCTACAAGCCTCCTGACTCGCATGGTATCAATCTGTTAGACGCAGGACTCTCTTTCCGCATAGAGCGAGTTCGAAAAACATGGTACTGGAGGCAAATATTATCGATGGGAGAAATGCACGAGTATCTTGATGGGGTTGTGCACCGCCATACGAACGCCTGCAAGAACTTTCAGTCTCCTTCCCTGGCGATATTGCAGATAAACCCCTTCCTACTACCTGTAAGTGTCCGTACCTTGGGCACGCTTGAAAGGACATCAAAGAAGCCCAAACAGGAAACCGTACGTGTCACGGTGGGTGACATGATTCGTAATGCTGTCACGCTGCTAGAAGACCTCAAAATCGATGACAAGTTCACGCTTGAGCAGAACGTCAACATACTCTGGATTAGCGTGTTGACGATGGAGATGATTGCGCGGTTGCGGGGTGTACTACAGCAACGTCTTGTTATGAAAGCTATTGCGGAAAAGATGCACAAAGTGCAAAAGATATACCTTATCTAATGAAGAAGAAGCGTCGGTTTCGTTTCTCAGGGTTTCGCAACAAAGACATAATCACAGGTAGCCGAACTCAGACTACAACATCCAAACTCTCGCAGTCTAATACACATTCCTGCAAATGTATCTTCTACGAAAGCGGTTGGTCGAAGTGACGATATGATAAAGACATGAGGGAGCACCAAGGAGACATGACACCCTGAGTGAAGATCTACATACCATCCATCGCATGATAAAATGAAGGACTGTCACAGTGCACTCGAAAGAAGATAGTCTAGTTTAGAAATTCTGATTGTATTCCCCATTCAGCAACATCTACAAGAAAGCGCAGCACGGCTGCGCCTATCAAAAAAGTATATATACAAAAAGTCGGCCAGACCAAAAAGCCTAGCCTATCGTCGTTTCAATCCTCCAGATCATGCAAAACATACCCATCTTACTCCTTGCGGAGAAGAGCCTCGCGGAAAGCACGGCGACCACGCTTAGCCTTGCCACCCTTGCAGTTCTCAGAGTTGTGCGCAACAGCCTCGCTGCTAGCAGCAGGCTCCTCGGAAGAAGGAACAGGGGAAGCAGCAGGCGAAGTCTCCTCAGCAGGCTCCTCGGTAGGGGTCTGAGCGGGAGACTGAGCGCCGCCGCTGGTGCTGGCATCCCAGACAGCGGGGGCGGGGAAGGTGTAGTCCTTGTAGCCGCCCCAGATGCTGAAGTTGAATTCTGGGTCGTCTTTCTTGTAGGCGCCGGGGAACTTGACGGTGGGGCCGGGGGTGCCGCTGCCGCCGCCGGTGACCTTGACTTGAGCGCAACTATCGTGTGTTAGCTGATGTTGTTATGGAAGTCGTGAAGAGAAGAAGTTACGCGTAGTAGAACTCAGCCTGACCATCGTGGGCACCATGAAGACCAACGTGCTCAGAGCGGATCAAGTACTCGCCCTCTGGCACCTCAGCCGGGACAGTGAACTCGATCTTGTTGCTATCCCAAGTGCACCAAGCATCACCAAGAATGTCCTTGTCGGGGTGGCAAAGACCAGACTCGAAGATCTTGAACCACTCGCCGTCACCCTCGTACTCCTTGACGGAGCTTGGCGCCTTGGACATGTAGACGAAAGCGGGACCGGGGTGCTTCATGGTAGCGCCGTAGGCAAGCTTCATGGCCATCTTGGTGCCGGCTGCGACCTCCTTGACGCCGGTCTTGCCAGCGCTGGCGAAAGAGCCCTTGTTGCAGCGGAAGTCGTCCATGTCGGGGGTCATGTTGTCGAGGGGGTTCTTCCACTTGGTGGGGTTGAACTTCTCCGCACGTGTGTTCTCACGGATGAACTCGTAGCCCTTGGACTCCTGGCCGTCGGTAACGAGGACATCGAAGGTGTAGTGGGCAGAGGCAATCTGCGCAATGGCAGCTGCGGCGATGATGGAAAGCTTCATGTTTGAGGTGGGTAGTGGTGGTTGGTTTGGCGTTTGGTAGTGAGTTGGAAGATGAAAAACGATTGTATAGTAGGACTAGCCTGTAGAAACGAATGTAGTAGCGAAAAGCTGAAGAGAAGCGAAAGACAGTGTGCAAAAGTGTGCTGATGAGCTCTCCATCGTGGTGGTGTTTTGCTTCTTATGTATCTGAGCATGCGTTCCTATCTGAGCGCTGTGGTCAATGTCGCTAACCGTTTCCAGTGACCAGAGCTGGTCTTTCCACCCATCCCTTGCAAACCCCTCTTCGCCGACGTTGGTTTACACCATGAAACAATGCCTCAGGTGTTTCCTTCCATCGACGCATGAGGCCGAGATCTCTTGGCTGTGGCCGTATTTCCGCTATCCCGCACAGCTGTGGCGAAGCGAGATGACCATACGAAGGGATGAGAGCTGTCATTGTGGTATTGACCCCCGTAGCGCCCGCTTTTTCGATCCTGGGAACCGCGGTGGTGGGCCTGTCACCATACGGGTGCCTGTTTCAAACCATTTTCTTGGCAGTAGGAGACTTGGCGGTCGGAGGTCTCATCAGTTGGGGAGGTGCAGGCACCATGCTCGACGGAACTTCGCTGCCGGTGCAGACTATGCACAGTGGTACAGGAATATGTGAGCAGACTTCAACGTTCGGTCAATAGTGGATCGACACCCATGAAGGATTCGCAGAATGCTGTTATCATCAGTGTTGCGATATCTCTTTCCACTTCCAATATCTCAGCGCATGAAAACGCAGCAAGATTATTTCTCCGCCTCTTCAACGTGAAACGAGTAATGACGGAAAGGGGGGCATGGCGGGATCGCACATGCTGAAGGACGTGATGATCGGGATCCAGACACAACCAGACTGCAAGCCCACTCACGTCTGAGTTCGGGTGAGCTACTACCTACCATCTAGCGCTCGCTGTGCTCGTACCCACTGTGCCAAAGATAGAGACTGCATACGGGTCTCGGAGGTAGAGCGGCTACCGAAGTTTGTGTGGTTGTCAAGAACGTATCTAAGGCAAGACTCACGGATGGAAACGGTCTACACCATTATATATCACGGCCACCGTCAATTGAGCCTGTTGTTGCGCTTATTTGAGCTGTTAAGACTCAATTTACACGATGAAGGCGTGCATCCAGGCTGATGGGCTCTCGAGATGCAGCACTCCTGAGTCAGTAGTGGTTCACTTCAACCTGCACTTTAGCCGTAGGCCTATCACGAACAGCCCTTTTCCGATGTATCCACACTGCAATCTCTTGTGGAGAGACAGACTGTAGCGTGTTTCTGTTTCCGCCTGTGGCTTGTTTCAAACGTTGGTGTTGTTGCGGAATGCTACCGAGTGTGACCGCACAAGTTCAATCCTGTTGTTCCTTGACGCCATGGTGGGGAAGCCTGCAAACGACGAAGGAAGGCGCCTCAAGAGGTTGGCAATAACATCGTGCATAGGCTTGTATTGGCGCATAACAGGAATTATCTCGTCGTCGGTCGGCGGCTCGAACTACCGAGAGCGTTGGGCTCTGCATAGTATACCGGATTAGGTCCGATGGGATTTCGCTCCACAATCCGATGCAGCAGAGGCATGCTTCCGCAACTAAGCCAAAGACAATGGAGGTCCACTGAAGTGCAGTAGCGGTGCGGCGTGATAGATTTTTAGTCTCCTTGGCGTCCGTCCCCTGGGCTCGGGAGTTCTGGAGGGAGGGACGTCAAAAAGTTCTCGACTCGTGGCGTGAGGCTCCTTGTCGGCCGTTGAGTCAAACCCGATTTTCTACCGACACCGTTGGGCCTAGCGTGTGAGCCTAATTCGACAATACATTCCTCGTGCTGTATGTGTTGCTGTGAGCCTCTCGTTGTTTTTAAGCAATCGACGCGTTGCGACGAGATGGTGTTGTGGTAGTGGTCGTGTGTTCACGACGTTGCAAGACGTCCCCGCATCGCCTGACCGTCATACGTCATCACTAACAAATCATGTGGCATTGTTTTCCTGCATGTCTTTGATCCGCAATGCACGACAAACGCTTTTTGCAAACTTTGGACGTGGAAAAGATATGAAACCATTGTTCTTGACATTGAAACATCCAACTCCTCTTCTTTCCCACCCGTAGAATAATTAGCGGGCCGTCATCGCAAGGACGCCCGGGACAGTGCCCCAAGCATCAATCAACATGTCAGCAACCAACGAGCAACCAGTCGAGACGCCAGTCAACAAACTCAACGCAAAGCAGCAGAACCGAATCCAGAAAAGACGGCTTGCACGTCAGCAACTCACTACGCACCTCGCTCTTGTACGAAAGAACAGCAAAACAAACGACCCTCCACGGATCGCAGGATGCATGCGCGCACCACGAGGCCCAGACGGCCGCTTCCTCCACCGCGAACACGTCATCACAAAAGCAATAGAGAATCTCAGCATACAAGAGACGACGGCAAAGCCTGTAGAAAGTTTGAATGAGAAGCCACAATCCTGGACGCCATGGGTAGTCCCGTCTCTCTCCAAGACACCAAAAGCTTCCCGACTTTAGCTTCATACAAGACCGAGGAGGACCTCACAACCTCATCACCCAACCGTCTGAACACCGCCAACGCACTGAATACCTCCCCGCTCCCTCATTCCCTCACAGAACGAAGCCGTCATGCTCCCTGTCAGCCTCTTCCTGCGCCCTGCCAATCGGATCATCCATGTAAAGAACCTTGACTTCCCACATACTACTCGCGTTCATACCGATCAAGATACCCCCTCCTTTAGTCCCCTTCTCCCACTTCTTAGTCTGCTTCACATCCTCTGTATCAAGGAGCAAGACCGTGAAGATATGTTCAGCGTCTTCCTTCGCGTCAGCACGATCGACGTAAGAGGCGTGAAGCTTGGTTGTAGCTGCGTATCCTTTTGGCTTGGAAGCCTCGAATTTCGAAGACAAGGAGGTAGAGGAATGGTGTTCGGCATGGGCAAGAGGGCCGGCGGAGATAATGGTGTAGACGGGCGCGGGCAAGATATCGAAGACGTCTTTGTTGATTTCGCGATGTATCTTCAGTATAGTGTAGACGCCGCGTTGGCCCTCAACAATGAATGTATCGAAGCCTTTTTCCAAGAACTCTTCATCAACCTCCTTCTCTTCATCTTCGTCATCCTCAAACAGGAAGTCGTCGTTTGGCTTCTCTTTCAGGAGGGCGTACTTATCGATTGCGGGGGGCGAGTTGCTGACGACGTCTTCGATTTGAGGGAGGAGGTGGCGGAATGCTTTCGCGGGACCGAAGAGTTCGTAGGAATCGATGTGTGGTCGGATGATGCTCAAGTACCAGATTGTGTTGGGTTCGACGTCGATGAAGGCGAGTTCGTCGACTGGCTTGTCGACTTTGGGAGCGGGGATTGGGGTGGATTTGTTGAAGGGCATGACTTCATCGTCCCCTTCGAAGTAGATGCCTTTGTCCATGGTGAGATGTAGGGATAGTCGAGGACTTGCGATATCGTCGAGTATCGTAATGTCGGTGCTGAGGCAATGTAGTCGGGGGTGGTGCTTGAGAGGTTTATGAAGGTGAGAGGGATGGGCAATGTATACTGTAAGAGCAAGCACGGGCGTTATAGCCTGCGAGCGTTTGTTAGATGACGTCGTCGCTTGTGGTTTGCGGTATCGCGGTGAAGGCGGGACTGGCGCCTGGAGCTATCGGGCTCCAACATGGGGCGCCGACAGACCGATACAAACGACCTTGTATACCGCTACGGGGGTTGATGCCGTGCGATATCGCCCCGACAAGGCGGTATGTAGGCGCCAACTCCCTCATCTGAAATCGTAGAATGATACATCAGCGGCAGTTCGAAGTGACTCCAGACGTTCGTAGAATTGTGCATTGGTATCTCCTAGCAAAGTAAGACATTTCGCATCTTAGAATACATAGCGTGCTTTTAAGTGCAGTTCCAGAACGCCAGAGCGCCATACGCATGCAGAACGTGACATGTGATTGTCACTCAGCTTTCCATATGACTACACCACCTAGTGTCTTCTCGCCCTCTTATCCTTGCCAGGCCGTTTGCTTGCACCGCCGCTGGGCTTGCCCTTCATCCTGCGAGCCGAGAAACCGCTCCCGTCTGCGCTGGATTCGGCGGTGTTACTCTTCGCGTGACGCTTCTTGCCACCGAAGCCGTACTTCGAGTCCTTCTTCTGGCGCTTGTTGAAGTCCTTGCCGCCAGCACCACCACGACCGCGGCGGTCGGACTTGTCGTCATCAGCGGTGGCGGCGACGTCGAAGAGGTCTTCCTCGTGGGTAGCTGTGATGTCGGCTCCTTGTCGCTCTGCATGTTTGTCAGTATACTGCTAGTCAAGTTCTCAGATATGGGTAACACATACTCCTCTTGAGAGTCTGGATCTTCTCGATGGTGTCCTTCTTCTCCTTGGCGCGCTCCTGCAGCTTCGCAACCTGAACCTGCTTTCCGAACTTCTTCAAGTCTCTCTGCTTGCGTGCTTCAGCAGCGGCCTTCTTGCCTGCCGCGGCATCAATCAGCTTCTGCTTGATCTTGCCCATGTGCTCGTCGCTCTTGACCATCTCCGCGAAGTAGTCGGCTGGCCGAGAGAACGACACGCCCTCCTTCTTCAACTTCTTCCGCGCATCCTTGACCGAGGACAGGCACTGCTTGTAGAAGGCGAGCTCACGGTTGAGGTCGTCCTCGACGTCGGCGATCTCTACAGGCTCGTCGGTGGTAACGGACTGGTATTCCGAGAAAGCGAGTTTCGAGTAGGGGAGTTGGATGCGGTTCAAGGCTGCGGTGAGGGCTGCGGTGTTGTTGATGGTAAGGCGCTGGTGCGGGATAATGTCACCCTTGTCCTCTGAAGCGACAGAATCCAGATCGGATAGCGCAATGTCATCCTCGTCATCGTCATCGTCCTCGTCATCTTCAGCGTCTTCATCCTCCTCTGCGGCCTCATCAGCCTGTATCTCCTCCTCGTCCGAGCTGATGTCGCTATCGGTGTCGTTGAGGTGGTCAAGGTCTACTTGAAGTCCATTGGGCGCGTCTTCATCGTCGCTTGCGTCGTCGTCGTCATCCTCGCCCTCGGTCTCCCACTCAGGTTCCTTGACTGCTGGCGCAGCCTTTGCGTCGGCCTTCTTGTCCTTCTTCGACTTCTTTGTCTTGCCATTGACCTTCACCTCTACCTCATCCAACGGCACAGGCACGCCGCCCTCCTCAGTATCCTTTTCGCCCTCCTCCGCAGCCTTCCTGGCTTCGCGCTTTTCCTTGCGCTTCAGCGCCTGCTTTACGTACTTCTTCTGCTTCTCGCGCTTGATGTCGCGGCCCTGGTAATTGTCGAGCGCAGACTTGAGGACACCTTTCTTCGCCATTTCGACTGAGGTTTATGGGGGTTCTGGAGGGTGTGGAGTATCGGACGTCGCAAAAGACAAGACGTCAAAGCTTCCCAGAAAATAATTCGTGAACTTCGAAGTCTGGGCGCAGAAACATTTTAGCGCGCACGCTAGCTTGACCGCCTACGAAACGGGCAGGAAGCCGCGGCGAAGACCACGTGCTCCGCGACCTTACATATCCACGTTATGCGCATCTCTCCTGTTGTATAATAGCAGACCGCTTGACAATCGCCTTGTGAGGTGCTGAAATTGTCCCAAATCCGCAGACTACTCGCATCGTTCTCACCTTTCCTCACAAACACATTCAGTCATGGCGACACCGCAGCCACTAGCAGACCGCGCGCAAAGCGACACTGCGGTACGTGCTTGTTACACTCACGATGCCCCGCTCTACCTAACACGCGCACAGTCTGCTGTCTCAAAAGATGCCGAGAGTTCTGGAGAGCTTACAGCGGTTGTTGACGATCTCCTGAATCAACTCAACACCAAGTTCACTACAGTCAGCAGCGAGCTGCTCGCCAAGAGTAAGTACAAGCATGTCTATGGGAGGCACATTGAAGGCTAATAACGCGTAGTGGATGACATGTCACGGCGGCTGGATAACCTTGAAGCAACTATCCAGGCTGGAGATGGTACTAAGGGTTCAGGGTCTGGCAAGTAGATTTGCAGGGAAGGCATCATGTTTGGTCAAAAGCAGGCGGTGTACAATGCGCACGTCTAAGTCAATGGCGTTTGGTTTTAAATTACATAGATCGTATGCAATCTGGGTATTGACTTTTGGTTCTCTACTACTTATTCCTCTTTCTCATTGTCATGATCACGTATGCCTGTCGCTCCTGCGCCAGGCCTCTTTGCGCCCCCAGCTCATCTAATCATCTTAATAGTGTTGATGGTATGCCTCACTGCGGAATCTTACTTCACGCACGGGTCGTCTACAACTCAGACTTCTCCTCCTCAGCATCACCCATGAACTTCCTCAAAATGTTGCTCCTGCTCATCAGGTCATCCATCTTCTCGGGTGCCAGGTTGCCCTTGGCAATAAGTCCCTGCAGACGCTTGAGCTCCTTCGCAGCGTACTCCTGGTTGGCACCGATCTTGTTGAAGACCTTGACGTAGTATTCGGCGTACTTGTCTTGCAGAGTACCGGCGAGGGTCTTGGCCTCCTCAGCACCGCCGGCCCACGAGCCCTGGAACTTCTCAATGAGGGTGTTGAAGGCCTCAATGGTGCCACCAGTAGCGTCGAGACCACCACCTACAGCACGGTGGGTACCGGCGTTAGCGTTGATGAAGTCGACGAAGTCCTTCTCAGCGCGGGCGCCGTTGTAGGGGAGAGGCTCGGTGGAGCCCTTGGGGAAGTATTTGATGGTCGGGTAGGATGACACGCCTTGCTCCTGTGCGAGGGCCTTGGAGTTCTCAGCTTCAGCGTCGACCTTGGCAATCAAGACACCGGGTTCGGTAACGAAGTCGTTGGCGAGGGTCTCCCAGACGGGGGCGAGAGTCTTGCAGTCTGCCAGGTGTTAGCTATGAACAATCGATAGAGAAGAGGTCAGCATGACATACGTCCGCACCATGGGGCAGTGAAGGCAACGAGCACATCCTGGTCCTTTCCAACCTTCTCCTTGAAGGTCTTGTCGTCCAAGTAGACGACCTGGCTAGGCAGCTTGCCCTTGACCTTGGGCTTGACCGAGCTCTTCTCTGTGATGAACTTGCTCAAGCTCTCGAGGTCACGTCCGCCGCTGTAATCCGTAGGCTTGTCGCTCTTTCCGTCGAACCACTTGAGGGTAGGGAAGCCTGAGACACCGAAGCGCTTGCCGAGCGCCTTGTGAGCATCAGCATCAACCTTTGCGACGCTGACCTTGTCTCCAGCGTGCTGGAAGACGCCAGCGAGCTCATCGTAGACGGGGGCGAGGTTCTTGCAGTGGCCGCACCAGGGAGCGAAGAACTCTACGAGGGCGGGCTTGCCGGACTTAAGAACGACATCGTCGAAGTTGGAGGGTGTGAGGTCGATGACGGCCGATGCCGAGGCAATTGCGGGCAGCAGCGCAATGGCTGCGGGTATTAAATTGCGGAAAAGCATCTTAGATGTGTGTGAAGCTCAAGGATGAGTTGAAGCTCCAAATGTGTGTTGAAGAGCGGTGGGAAATCTGGTGGGGAGCTAGAGCAGCACAGCGGCTATCAGGGTCCCGCGGTGGCGATCGCTAGTCTGAAAGGTGTCCTTACGCGTCTCAACTTTACAAATCCATCACCAACGCGACGGGATGACGTACACCGGATAGTGATCACGTATACTAATCACCGTCTAAAGCGTATACATAGCTGTGGATAAATATTGTTTACTACGATATGCATTCAATTCCCGGGTATCACAAAGACATCGCCCTCCAGACCTGCATGTGGCTATCACCTCCCAAACCTTCCATATCTAATGCAACGACATCTTCCAGTTGTTCCCTCCAGTCATCCCATAGCTACCACTAACCGTCTTCTCGTCTTCAACCTTCTTCGCCTCCTCCTTCTCCTCCTTAACCTTCCCGAGCTCACCAGCAACCTTCTCCACGGCAGCCTTCAGCGCCCTCACATCCGCGCCCCTGATCTCCTCGGTTTTCTTCCCGTCCTTGAAGACCATGAACGTCGGCATAGCTGTGACACCATATTGCCCTGCGATCTCTCTCTGCTCATCCACATTGACTTTTACGAATGCAAATTTCCCTGGTGAGGTGTGTGCTGTGGAGAGTTGGTTGTAGATGGGCGCGATTTGCTTGCAAGGTGGACACCATGTTGCGTAGAAGTCGGCGATGAGATAGGTGTGGCCGTTCAAAAGAGTGCGGAAGTGTAGAGGTGCTGAGATCTCTGTTGGCATGGTTGATCTTGGGGTATTTGTTGAAGCGGCGTGCTGAGAAGATGTGTCAAGTGATTTGAGTGTGGTGTCTTAGGTACTGAAGGACTGTTGAAAGGCGGTTGTAGTGTATTGAAGCTGTCGTAAAATCCAGGCTGCACTTTTGTATTTGTTCGATTACGATGGCGCGACCTTGTGGAATGTTCTTTCCAATCAATGCGCCATACCACGAATGGTCTGGCCAATCAGCATTTGTCATCAGCTTCACGATCACGTGTCGGTGCGCTTGCCGCATCTGGTAGTCGGTGATGGCAGTTCTGTGCGGGGGAGGCTATATATGCTGCGCAATGCGCACACGGAACCTTTGAGCGGAGTCATCAGTCATGCAGATGGGAGGGCCTGTGCTCAACTGATGGATGGTCTTGCGGAGGTAGATTCGACCGTGCAATGATATACATGCTGAGTGGTAGCAACCTTGAATTCCAGAAAGTCCACAACGCCTCGCTATGCCATCATGAGCAGTTGAACCCAGCTGCTTGTCAAGAATTGAATGACCCTTCAAAGCTCAGCCCCCACCCCTGCCCAGTATCTCCTCCCTTTCCAACACCTCGGGCTTGAACTTGATCAAAAAGACCGTCTTTCCCGGCCACAAACCCTTGCCCTCCTCGTCGCCTACACTATGCGCTGTCACGCCTTCGGTCGGAAACCCCGCACCATCGCAAACACCCTCAATTATGCCCGCAACAAAGGCCGCGCAGTTCAAACTCGACAGTTCTTTAGGCAGACTTATGTATTGGTTGACCATGGGGTCGTTGTCGAAGAGCATGTACTGTCCTGGATCGGTGCCGGACTTTTCTAATGCATCCGCGGGTCGACCGAATAGGTAGCGGTATAGCTGTTGTGCGATGAACTGGAGGAGAGGCAGGATACGAGTGGGCCGAATGCTCGCGAGGGGGTTGGCGGTTCGGGAGAGGAGAAGGTCGAGTAAACGGAGGCCAATGGGGTAGCCTTGTGTGTTCAGTCTACATGGTGTCAGAACACGTTCAGCTGGAAACCCAATGCGGTATGTCGCAGTGCACATGTGAAGTTCCGCAGCTGCATGCATCTAGCATACCTCTGTTCCAAGTCCCCCACATCCTTCGCGCCCTTCTGCGCATACGCAATCATCTCAATGAAGAGGTACGCAAACGCGGCTCTACTAAGCTCCGCATTCTTACTCCGGTTCAGATTCCTGTCATATATGCTCTTTTTATTCGACGGGTACCGCAGCCCAGGCCCTTGGCTTGGGGTGCCGCTCATTGCGATATGCTGCCCTTGTGGTTGCGATTGTGTGCCGGGTTGCGGGCGGATCGTGGCTGCAGAGGAGGATGTCGATGGCTTTTGCGCAGTGTCTACGGACCGCGAGAGAGACGACTGGCGCGAGGGGTAGTACGAGTGGTGTAGGGGCAGGATGTTGGACATGGTCGCTATTGAACCCTGGCGGTGTTGTTTGGCGGAGTGATGTGGGTCGGAGGGTCGTGCGTCGTGCGTCAGACTTGCCGCGGGTCGAGGATGCTAGGGATCATCTTCGGTGCTTAGCTAACACACGACTTTCACAATACAACAATTTCCGGGATTTTCAACCACTTCTACCCGGCGTGTTTGGAAGCGTCCTTTGCTGGCTACCCTAGAATGTGGTCCTCAGCGCCTGCATCTATGAGATTGCCATCGATGCAACCAATCCTCGGCACCGTGCCGCATCATTCATTGGTTCGGGGGAGGAAGAGGAAGAGTGATAACGTGGTGCAGCAATCAAACGGGGGTACCGCAGTCTACATTAGTATAGGGACAAGAGTTTAGCCGGTCTGACGGTGATGTAGATTCCCAGGTAGTCTCTAGTATTCACTATAGGGTGGTGTGCTCTTCGATGCTACGTATTAACATGGAGCGGAGAGGTATAAAGCCACCATCCCCAACATCTACATCTCTCCGTTGTGTCGCGCTTCAGCATGACGACAAACCGCCTGGACAGCGCGCTTAGAACGCCAACCATCGTGCTCAGCCGCAGTCTCCATGTAACCATCAGGCATCTCAACCATATCTCCATACAGCTTCTCGAGCTTCTTCTTCTCGTCATCCACACCTTCCGAGCCGACTACTTTGCATACCTCAATGGTAGATGCCTTCTTCCAGTCCTTGTACCACTCTTTGAACCTTTCGGTGAGATTCATCTGGTGCGACTCAAGAACCCTCATCATCGGCTGCACATCGGTGCGACGGATATCGAACTGAATCGGGATGATGGCAGTGGTGTTGTTCGGGTCCGCAGCAACATCGCGCATGTGAGGTGCACCAGACTGCTCGACCTCAAGCTCCGCACGCAGGTCACCGTTGAGCTTTCCCTGTTGCTGTAGTGCAGCCAAAGCATCACCGCGTTCTTTCTTCATCCTGCGTTCGGATGCGAGGTGGCGCTGCTTATCACCCTGAGCGTCTTTGGCCTTCTCTTCCTCCTTCCCCACCATGTCCTTAGCAATCTTGACCTTCTTGTTGGCACCCTTTAGCTTCCGCGTCTTTCCATCGTTCTGATTGCCCAGATTGACATTTTCGTACTCGATGGTCTTTAGTGTGTCCTTCAGCTGCGTGTTTTCGGATTGCAGACGCGTGACCTCGCTTTCGAGGCGGTTGAGACGGCGTACGGTGTCAGTCGGAAGATCAGACCCAGCAGCGGTCTTGGCAGTCCTTCGATCTAGATCGTCGATGGTCTTGCCTCGTTTCTCAGCCTGCCCTTTCCAGTATTCGCATTGCTGACTCAAGGTTGCGATGGTAGTTCTCAGACGGGCCTCTTCACCGTCTTTCGCTTCCTGCTCTTCATCGACTACGTTCTCGTGCCATAGGCCACCGACGGGCTCTACAGTAGACGCTTTGGACACTGACAGACTAAGCGACAATTTCCCAGAACGCAAGTCATCAGGGTCGTGGAAGAGTGCGTCCAGATTGAAGCTCATCTGTTGTGGGTTAGTATGAGCGCAGGCTTAGCTGTTCTTCAACCTACCTTGAACTGTACTTAGGTCGCTACACTGTCTCGACGCGAAGAAAGCGACGATTCGAGGTTGCACCGTATTCGTCACGCCAAGCATTTGGACCCTGGTGAAGTGAGATCCAAACGAGACGAAACGGGAAGGCGCGTCGATCACCGCTGCACGGTGAAGCATCCTCTGGCATTGGATCACTCATCTCTCAATCGCTCGATAACAGCTGCCAGTTCTCTCACTCGGAACGGCTTCGGAACCGCGTCATCCATTCCAGTCTCTCTCGCGCGCTTCAGTTGCTCGGGTCTTGCATTCGCGGTGACAGCGATGATATGAAGGTGCTTATCGATTGACCCGTCTTCCTGCGCGGCGCGAATCATACTTGCGCACTCAAGCCCATTGACAATGGGCATTTCAATGTCCATGAGGATGACGTCGATACGTGGCTCGTTGACACGTGGTTGCGATGAAGTCGAGCCTTTCCAGTGTTGCGTGGTCTGAATGAAGTCGAAAGCTTCCTGCCCGTTATCGGCTGTGTAAACGATATACCCCTGGAGTTGTAGTTGTTTCTTGAGCACCCGTTGGTTGACCATGTTGTCCTCCACAAGCAGGATGCTAGACTGGACTGTTGGCGGTGCATCCGCAGCGGTGCCCATAGCGTGAGGCAGCAACGAGGTCGATCCTTCGGATGTGATCGACTTTTCAGAGCTCCTGGTAGATAGAGACGGCCTTGGTGGTAGAGCCCTCGATGCTTTAGTGTAGAAAGCAAACGTAGATCCGATATGTTGCTGAGACTGGAAGCCAATCTCGCCACCCATCAAGGCCACCAGTTTCTTGCTGATGGATAAACCCAGTCCGGAACCACCGTATTTACTGTATGTCTTTGGCATAGTCTGAGTGAACTGGCTGAAGACGCGCGCTTTGGTCGCTTCATCCATTCCGCACCCTGTGTCTTCCACTTTGAACCACAAAAAAATGGACCCTTCCTCTTGTTCGGATTGGTCTATTGATCCAGTCTTTTGCACTGCTTTGACGAGACCGTCGAAGATAGCAGTAGGTGGCCATGACGCTACTCCAATACGAACGGTAACAGCTCTTTCGTCGGATCTATCTTTGGTGAATTTGATCGCATTGGCGACCATGTTGAATAACACCTGTGTCACTCTACCCGGATCAGCATCGATCCAGTCAACGCCGAGTTCGGTCAATGAAGGATCGGCTACAGCTACAAGCTGGACACCAGCTTGCTCAGCCTCGGTCTTGAAAGTATTCTCGACCTGACCCAAGAAGCTCTTGACTTGGAACACCGTTGGACAGATCTCAAGCAAATTCGAGTCCAGTTTGGAGAGCGAAAGAATATCGTCTATGATGCGTTTCTGATGCATAGTGCATGCCATGATCGTGTCGACAGCATCGCCCATGCTGCTGTTGAGATTGCGTAAGTCGTCGGCGGTGCGGGAGCTGTCGTTGTCGGGTGTACCCCGGTTCTCGCACTGGTTAAGAAGAAGCTTCACTTCGGAGAGCGAGTGAGCTATTGAATCCGCGCAATGCATGACAGCACTAAGGGGGTTCCGAATCTACGGCATGTTAGGCTATGCAACAACCTGTATGGCTCCCAAAGCGTACTTCATGGCTCACCATATCAACGAAGCTTCACCCTGTTAGTAAATTAAAGCATACCATGTGTACGTGGAGACTCACTTCTCTTGTTGCCTTTTGGCTTCTACGGCTTGTTGCAGCCGCGATTCGCTAAGATGAAGCTGCTCCAAAGCTGCTACGCGCGCAAGCTCTTGTTGTTTCAGAGCTTCTTCCTTGGTGGAAACATCCTCTTCTCTAGCAATGCGTTCTTTGCGGATCCTCTCAGTACGGCTCCTAGCTTCAGCATTTGCCATCGAAATCACCTCGTGGGAGAAGTCACGATGGAGCGTCTTGATCCATGCTTGATAGGCGCGATCGTAAGGTGTACGAGGTGCCAGACCGACGATTAAGGCAGCATGAACATTGGCAGTGCGGTTCGAAACACTTGGCAAGATGACAGCCTGATGGCACACATCGCCATAGCATCGACTCGTAGAAGCCTCACACATTTCCTGGGGGAGTGTACCGTTCTCAGCCTGGAGGAGTACCGGTGTACGAGTATTGACACTCCTGTAAAAGGCGTCAACCCATCCTTGATCCATGATTGGCTCGAGCGTTGGAGGAGGCGTGGTCGGGAAGGAGCCAACAGTACCAGAGAGAACGAAGGTTGGTGACCGAGCCTGTTCCTCAGAAGAAGCGGTCTCTTTGTCTTGTTCTTCAGTCGTCTCTACGCGGTACAACGCGGCAAATGATATGTCTCCGTCTCCATTGGATATGCCTTTCAAGATCGAGGGCCACAGCGTATCCAGATCCAAGGCAGTCTCGCAGGAACTGCGAAATTCGTCCAAAGAATGCTCACGACGAGACTCCAGCATATCTCGCGTGACGTTGTAGGTTGTGGCATGGGATCCGCCCAGGGACGGCGGTAGACCCGTTGTTGTAATGGACAAGAACACTTCCTCGAGCCGTCCATTTCTGGAGAAAAAGAAGGGTATTTTTTGCCCGCCATTAAGACCCGACTTTACTCTTAGGCACTCGCCAAGTCCATCGACCAAGGGCAGTTGCTGTACCAAAGCTGTGTTTAGGCTTATAGGTCGTCCTTGGTACTGCGGATGATGGTCGTACAGCAGTCGGCCGTACGCTGTGTTGTAAAGGACGGTCGAATCGGAGCCAAGTAGGAAAAGCTGCGGTTGAGGGGAGATCATGGCGATGTGAATGAGCAACAACAGCTCGCGAGGCCACGATGAAATGAGTCCGACGGCGGTTTTGGCCCAGTCCAAGTCCCGAATGTATTGCAAATCGGCATCAATGGTTGGATCGCCAGTCGAGTTCGTGAGAAAAGAGAGGTGAGACTGCTCAAGCTCTACCGCCATAACAATGCCGATAGCGTGACGACCCAAGAGAGAGATGTTATGGTACGGAGTTGCGGGCTGCTGCGCCAGTACAGATCCCAGCCACATTTCATTGTTGATTCCCGTCCCGGAGTAAACGGCTCCAGGAGTGGCAAGCCAGACGTCTGGTGGGAATCTAGACCGCGTAGGCCATGCAACTGCCCTGTCTAAGGTCTAGACCATCGAGCCCATGGACCCTTACACTGTTCGCTGGGACATGCCGCTCCATAGCAAAGCGGGACGCACAACTGATGAGCATGTAGCTGCAGGTGTGTTGCGAGTATGCAGGCGACGGCCTCGCATTGCCATATAGATGCTGCCCCGGAGCGCCGACACTGAACGCAGCGAGCTGAGCACCATCATGAAAACCTTCCGCAGCAACTGCCGGGTGCATCGATGCGAAAGGCGCATTTAAGTAGCCAGCGAAAACAGAGTCTAGCATAGATGAGGGATGTATGTGGTGCATTCTGACATGCATTGCTCGCTTGTCAAGCTTCAATCAAACTTCGATGTGGCCAGATCTCTGTTCGAGATATAGCCTAGCCGAACGTGGCTAGCACATGCATCCCATCTGCCCAGGTGCGCTCGGGACTATCTTGCCGCCCGTTGTTTTTCAGCCACAACTGCCCAGGGGCCCTCTCTTTGCATTTCGGCAGACGCGACAGGTTGTTCCAGCCAAGCGTCGTTCAAAAGGAGTTTCAAAAGCCATCTGCCTGGCTTCCGACTGGATTTGCGCCAGTGGTGGCTTCGATAGCTGCCGGAACTCCGCACATGGGCAGAAGCCTAAGCACACCTAGATTAGCGCGACCGCTGGTTTCTTCACACTACGGATTGTGCCTTGGAGAGAGATTTCATTCGTCCAATAGCGGGATAGACCCTAAGATCGAAAGTTGAACCTCCGCTTCGCTTGACCATCTCAGCGAAGAAGATCTCGAATACGGAGCCCAAAAGGTTCGCAGTGTGAGAGGAAGCGCTACCCAGAAGACGCCTGCGAAACTGCACAACGAAAACCTTTCGGAAAACCTCAGGCGCGTAACCCAAAATCATTTATGGGTTTTAGCTACGAATGGGCTGATGTATCACGGCCTCGCTGGACGCCGGTCGTCCTTTGGTAAATCGTTGGACGCAAGAAGCACACAGGCAGCGACTCATGGACTCACGTTTGGCAGATCCGGCTACTCCACCACTGTGTTCAAGTCACTTCCACCCTGCCTGGTCTGTCGCCTGATCACACGTACCGTTATTACATCCAGAATTATATGTAGCCGTAGCGCCTAGTCACGCAGCGTGAGTGAAGTCACGACCTCGGGATGGATGGGGTCGACGGACGGCACGTGCGGGTCGATGCCTGTTTTGGCGAGAACCCCTGTAGTTCGCACCGCCTACACTGCGACTTCTTCTCTGTCTTTCGCGCTCGAGCCTGGAGATGGCGTTCTGATGCTGGAGGCCTATTGCCTCGACGTCGTATGCCGCTCGTGCTCAGACGGAAGCGCGCCATATAGCGACCCTTATCTTCGCATGGTGGTTGATATCTTTGACGAGCGTGGTATCTGCGTCGGTACAGGCTACCACGATCGCATCCCAGAAAGCTGCATTACCCAATGTATGGCTGTGATTATGTCGCAGAGAGTGGACACAACCTGCAGCAGCACTCCCATTACTTACTTCCTGCTGGTCGTTGAGTCGCACCGCTTTGCGGAGACCTGCTACGAGCGAATAGGCATCGGGCAGACAGCCGATAAGACTTACGGACATGTACTGGACACGTCAAACATCAAACCTGAGCAGAAGAGAAAGGTTATACTCGTCTAAATACACATTCCCAGCATGTCTTTATTTCCTCGTCCTTCCTGATGCTTGCAAAAGCTTTCATTCCACGCCTTCATTTGAGTCCATACCGCGTATACTCTTTCTCTCACCAACAACCCACCGATCAAACAACATACCTTCAATCTTCGGCCCAGGGTGAACATCTAACATCTCGTAAAACATCTCAAACCTTCTTGGTCTCTCCTCTTTCTCTAGTCTTTCAAGCAGAGCAAAGTCCCTCGGGTGGGGAGTCATCCTGTACGCATTCTCGCGTATACGGTACCTTAGTACCACTTCTCTGAGATCTGCGAAACCCCCAAGCGAGGCATACAGGCCCTCACAGTGATCGAAACTGCCAACGCCGCTGAACCAAGACGAAGAGAATGTATCATCGATAACGATATTTCGGATCCGAGCGAGGCGTTGCGGAAGGACTGTCGACGTGAAAATAGACAGCCTCTTGGCATTGTCGAATTTGAACGTGTTATCAGAGTAGAGCACCGGAATGGCCTCGCGGTACCTGTACCTTTTGTAAATCTTCTTTTCAACGAGACTGCCCGAAAGCGAGGAAGAAACAGACATTTTCTTGCAAGTTCTCAGCATCTCCACGTTGCAGCCCGACACCGCCTTTATCCTCCAAAGATTCCAAGGTTCCTCGCGATTAAACCTCAACCCTACTTCCTCCTGCTCAGAAAGCACAATCGCATAGATCTGCAGTCTCAACTCCGCAGGCAACTTGGTAAAGAACAAACTTTGCGATTGATATTCCGCATGCTTCCTCCATACCCCCCGGGTCCTGTCAACGGAAACACTGCGCTTTCTCTTCTCCAAAGCACGCACGCGTCTCCGATGTTCGATTTTAGCCAAGGCGTCATATCGCCTTTGCTGTGCTGTAGATGGACGGCCGGGGGGACGTTTAACACAGGTGTGGGGTTCGATGGATCTGAGCCAATAACACAGACCACAGAGAGGGCAAGTGACGAGTTTGCAGCAGAGGCGCAGGATGGAACTGGTGTGCCATGTGTATATTATGGCATCTTTGATGGGCTCAAGAATTGGCATCGTGTTGTCTGAATGTTGTGTATGTTGAGATCGGGGGTTGTTGGCTGAAGATATGTGTTGTGGGTGGCCTTGTTTGATCTTGCGAAGGAGGCGGCGCAGTTGGTGGGGCCCGTCCCCTGTCGTGACTTCGTCAGGCTCCCATATCCTTGACGGTGAACACACAGCCTATCTTCCTCCAGATCGTGCTTGGCATATGCTCAATCTTTGCCTGGTCACTAGTGGTGCTATTCGGGGGAAGTGGTGTCATCTGGTATATACATAGCTCTAGCCAGGCATGTTGGGTGAACCCGACAGCTACCGTGAAGGTATTCGCAGTATCGCAGATCTCAAGTGCACCACCGCAACTCGCAGCGATTACCTCCACGGCAAACTATCAAAGCATGCAGCACGTTTATCACATCACCGTAGACTACACCTCTCGCCAACTTCCCACCTCGTCCAGCCCTCCAGACACCACGTCCTACGATCGTATTCCCGTTCCCGGAACCTCTCTAGCCCCTCCATTGATCCAACAATCTCATACCAAACCTCCACGCCACCCATATCATTCCTTCGTCCCATCTCGTCCAATAACGCAAGCTCGCTTTGTAGCCAATACGGATCGCCACCGGCAGATAAGACCTCGTAGCTCATGACCAGAACCTTCAGCCTCGTCAAAGAAGTGATGATTGTGAAGAAGTCGTCGTATGTATAGTTACGGCGATATCGTTCCTCCTCGGTCTCATAATCGGTTGGGCCGTCAACCGTCATTGTGCTTTGGGCGATGGTTATGTGCGTGAGGTTGGCTAAACGCGGTGGTGGAATGGAGCGGGTGAACATGACGAAGCCACGGTAGGTTTTGAAGCTGAAAGTATTGCCTGAGTAGAGTACGCCAATGGCTTCGCGGTAACTGGTGGGAAAAAACTCAGCGGGTGTAGATGTAAGTGTGGGGGTATACTAACATTCTTTTACAGGCACGCAATATGCTTACTGAGCATCCAAGTTCAGCCTTGAACTCGAACACTTCCTTCCTGCCATTAGTGTCTGCCTTTGCCTCTGAATCCACAACAATCATATTCCGTTCGCACAGAACCAACTCATAGATCATCACTCTCAACTCTGCTGGTAATCTACCAAAGAGATTGCTCTGCAATTGCTCCACGGTTTTCTTCCGTCTCGTAAACAGCATCTTGGTGTGCTTCCCGTCCACAGATACACTTCGCTTTCGGTTTGCCACGGCCCGCTCTCGCCGCGCCTGCTTTACCTCGCTCATGACCCGGACGCGCTCTTCTTGTTTTCTTCTCCGATTCCGCCCAGTGCAGTCGCGAAGCCCGGCTGAGCGAGTGCAGTAACAATAGCCCAGACATGGGCATGTGAAGCGCTTTACCCAGCGACGCAGGCGGGCGCTGTCGTTCCAAGCGTATAGGACAGATTCATGGATATAAGTGAACGGTCGCATCTCTAGCCTAACAGAATTTTGTGATGATGAGTTAAGAATATTGTTCTTTTGAATGACCTTGCAGAATGAAATGTTGACGGGCGCTGGTGAGGCTGAGCATCGGGTGGCTATGCGGGGCCCTACAATAGGCAACAACTTTGTACCATGCCGTTTCGAAAGGATGACAAAAGTAAGCGACCTAGAAGTCTGCGTCGCTTGAGAACTTTGTAGAGACCTGTTTCAATACTCATGTAGTCTGCAATCATCTGTCTAGGTTGTTGCTTGTGTACGGTAAAACGTAGATTAGTACAGACGTGAAGCACGCCTGATGTTTGCTTTCGCGAAGAATGCTTACAATCACGTTCGTGTGCGCAGCTGCTTTGTTAGGCCAATATATACGATCTATCTCCTATATATCCTAACAACCGCTCTCCCCTTACGTGATTCCAACCCACACAATTGCTCACAACTATGCAAGCAAGTAATCCTAGGATTATTACTTGGGTGAGTGACCGCAAGCGATTAGCGATGAAATCGCTTTTGCAAAAAAGAGCGAGATGTCTATTATTTTGGATATTTTGAAGTTCGTCACGTGACTCGAACCTGCTTACATAAAAAGGTGATTTTCAGATTCGGCCAATAAGAGCAGAGCTTTAATCCTCTAATAGAAAGGTGTGCTTTGCTCTTATTTTATGCTATTACGTGTCTAAAGTAAGCCTTAGGCTTTAGTATTTCTTAACTATAAAAACTTAGAAAAATCTTAACTTAATAACTAAAGTTTACTATTATAGTTATATACTACTAATACTTAAAAAAGATAAAATTATAAAATCTTTATACTTATATATTAATTTTTTTATACTTATTTTTATTTACGTACTCTAAAATAGTAACTATTTTTACTTTTACTTTTTAATAAGTAAGCTTAATATTATAAGTATACTTTAGTTACTTAATATATACTATTTAGCTTATTAGTAACTTCTATATTAAGTAGAAGTTTACTAACTTTATTATACTTTTTATAGCTATTTATAATTACTTTAATATAAATAACTTATAAGTAACTATTTACTTTATAGTAATAGCTAATTTTATTTATAGTAATATAAGTTTTAGTACTAATATTAAATTTTTTATATAAAGTAAATATAATACTTTTAAATAACTTTATAAAAGAGTTTTTATTTAAACTACTACTACTAGTAATAATAACTTTTTTATTAATATTAAAAGCTAAAGCTAAAAAAAGTTTAAAATATAAGTAAGATATATTTTATTTAAAGTTTAAAGATAATAAAAAAAATTAGATTAGTAGACTAGTAATTAATAAGCCTATAGGCATGCCCTAATGTCTTCCGTAGCGTAACATTAGGCTTGTCTTATGCTACTACAAAACTGATTGGTAAGCATTCTTCCGCTCAAATACTACGCTCGTTCCTCGCTCGTATTTTCGCTGCGAAAGCAATGAGGAGAGGGAATGAACGCGCGACACTCTGCGCGATCAAGCGCGATTGCGCATACAAGGTGTAGCCAAATTACACTATCCGGAAAGCTCTGCAGGCCGATGGGATACGAGGAAACTGATAATGTGCATACTGAGCATTTAGAGCTGTCTGGAGTTTCTACGAAAGGTCTGAAGCTGTTGTTCCACGAACGGAAGGAGCACAAGAGCCAAGTCGGATCAACAAAGCAAGAGCCCAGCATCCGGGTTACCAAAGTTAGTCATTCCACAATTTCCCCGCCCCCGCAAACCTAGCCTCGCACCAACTCCACCGAACCCATTCGCATGGCACCACTGGCAGCCGGGTATACGGGACTCACGGAGACACCTCCTGATATCGTGACTATGCCAGCCCCGCTCCCGATGATACCCAAGCGTGCAAGCGGACGCGGCCCTCTTGTGCGAGCCGCGTCGCCTCACGATGCCCGCAATCCGGGCTTGGTCATTCGTCCAGAACCCGCGACATACATAGATATGTAGGGCGGCACGGCGGCAACAGTGGGTACCCTCTTCTAGATCACATGTACACCTGGGGGCTGTGCGCATACGTTCCGAGAAGCGGAACCGAGGTCGCTCCTTTTTTAGAGTTGGCAAGAAGCGGAGGTGCAGATCGTGTCATGTCATCTGCTATTGAAAGCGCATTCGTAAATACGGTCGTTGATCGAGAGGAATCTGAGTTATGGGACTACCGAACTGGGGTGATCAAGACCGGGCTTCTACATTCACCATGCGCGCAGCAAGATACTACGGGAAAGAGGACATCAGGATTGAGGATGTGGATGAGCAGAAGTGCGGGGCGGGACAAGTCAGGGTATGTGTTTGGTTCTTTAGAAGCGGCTTGCGCGATGACTGACAGTGAGTAGGTCGCACCGGCCTTCGTAGGCATCTGTGGTACAGATCTCCATGAATACCTCGGAGGGCCCAACTTCGCGCCGACGACACCGCACCCGTGTACGAACGAAACGATCCCTATTACATTGGGGCATGAGTTCTCAGGGACTGTGACTGAAGTGGGCTCGGATAACTCGAGCTTTACGGTGGGCCAGAATGTCGTTGTTCAGCCGACGATATATTGTGGGAAATGCGAGGCGTGCAAGGCGGGCTCAGAAAACGTATGCGAAAACGGTGGCTTCATCGGGCTCTCGGGAGGAGGTGGTGGTTTGAGCGATTCAGTCGTTGTGCCTGAAGGCGCAGTATTGAACTTGCCCACCAACGTGCCGCTCGACGTCGGCGCGCTGGTGGAGCCACTGGCTGTTGCGTGGCATGCTATCTCAGCTGCTCCACTGACACCCGATTCCGTCGTCATGGTCCTAGGCGGTGGACCGATCGGGCTGGCAATCGTCCAATGTCTCAAGGCACTGGGCACGAAGAAGATCATCGTGAGCGAGGTGTCGGGCGCGCGGCAGCGCTTCGCGAGAGAATTCGGCGCGCACCATGTTCTCTGCCCCAAGACATATGATGTTGCGAAGATGAGCAAGGCTCTGAGTGGGAAGGATGGACCGGATGTGGTTTTCGACTGCGCTGGCGTTCCCGCAAGTCTCACAACGGCTTGCACGGCGGTGCGCGCTCGAGGCACGGTCGTCAACGTCGCGATCTGGGAGAAGGAGGTTCCGTTCAACCCGAACATGCTCGTGTTCCGGGAGGCGCAGTACACAGCCGTTTTGGGCTACCAAAGAAAGGACCTCGAGGCCGTCATCGAACATCTAGCTGCTGGTAAGTTGTGCGGTGTGCGAAACCTTACTTCCTTCAGATGCTGATTTGTCTTTAGGCACTCTAAAACCCATGAAGATGATTACCAGCAAGATTAGTCTGGAGGATCTGGTAGAAGGCGGGATCAAAGCCCTGATCAACGACAAGGAGAACCATGTCAAGATTCTAGTGGAAGTTGGAGGTATGAGTCGCGTGGATTCTGCCATACACTGAAGTTGTCGTGTTCATATAGATCGAAGATATCCAGTAATGCTATGAGTGTGTTATGGTTGTAAAGCTTGAGTGGTGTTTTGCAATTGGCGTATCGAAGCGTGACCATTTGGGTTCGCAGCTCCACCTCGGTCCTGGGCAGCTTGCAGGGTCCAGCATGCCGTCACTTCCGCAAAAGTAATCTACGCGTCTGGTGAACACCAAACACCCCACTACCTCTATCATGACTTTGGTAGACGCATTAGTTCATGCCTTCATAACCGCCCACATATCTCGATCACCATGCTAACGACAATGTCTTCGCTAACCCTAGACTCAATGGCTTGTTGCCAAGCGCCGTATACGGTGCGGCTGATGCCCATCTGCGGTAACGAGCTTTGTGCGCTGCAGTGTGGTGCCTCTGTAACGACAAGAGAGCGTCTTATGCTCGCTCTAGAGTTCACTGATATCACGATATAGGCCATGTCGCAGTACAACTCGATGCCGTCCCCAGGGGTCTACGTTCCCCCATCCCAAGGCTCTCCAGCGCAATCGCAAGGCGCCCAGCAGCCCTCGAGCTATCAGCCCAATGCCACGAACTATGGAGCACAATATCAGTCTCAGAAGGGAGGAGGCACGTTTGGCCAGATGATGAATCAGCGGCTTGAGCAGGCGGTGACAACAGGAAAGCCAATGTTGAACAAGCTGGGCAAGACTATAAGCTCAAAGCTAGGGAACAAGCCTTCGGGAGGCCCACCGCAGCATCTGCAGAGCTATCAGAGTTACCAGACTCACTTTGGGCAACAGAGCCAGAATCAACCATACCAGCAACCTCAGGGTCAGGCTTTCAGTCCTCAGCCGCAACAGCAGCAATGGGCACCACCGCAGCAACAACCCCCACCTCAAGTGCAGAATGCCTACCCACCTTCGCAGCCGTCTCCGTATCAGCAACCCAGCTACTCTACACCCGCTTCCGGCCACTCGGGGCAGACCAACTACTTCCCACAGCAGACGACTCAAGCGCCCAATACACAGTCTCATACGCCGCAGTCGCCGCTCACTACCACGGGACATAATTCATGGCAATACGGTCAAGGCGGAGGGATAGCGGAGCATACACAGACACATGGATACAATGGGCAAAATCAGGCGCCGCCGGGTCAGCCTCAGGCGCCTGTCCCACAACCGACACAGGAATCTGGCCAGTATACCGGACAGCAGATGGGAGTAGTGGGAGGCTCGCATGTCGCTCAACATACACCACCACCCCACACTTCAAGTATGTCTCCGGGAATACCCGCCCAAGCCATGCAGCCACAATGGGAACAGGCTACCGGGCAGCAGTCGGGTTCCCCTACATATTCTACACAGCAGAACACCACTGCGGCAAGTCCACCACCTCATCCACAGCAACAGTGGAATAGCCCGTCTCCAGGTGGTGCATATGGCCAAGGACAGTCGCAGATGCCTGCGCACTCCGTCAGCCCTCCACCTACACCGCCAATGACTACGGCACCTCAAGTGCCGTCAAACAAGCCTGCACAGTCAAGTCAGTCGTCAACGCCTGCACCGCATCAGACACAATATGCTGCGCCACACGAGTTCATTGCAGAGCTTCCTGCAGATCTTGGAAATTTGACTATTGCAGAATCGAAGCCGAAGGAACAAGAAACATCGGTCTCAAGCTCGCAATATCAAGCTTTCCACCCTTCGCTATCTCCGACTGGATCGCCATCGCCTGGCTTTACCATTCCTCGGCGGTCGTTTAGTGTCAGCACGATTCCACTGGCTGATCCGTGGAGGTTTGCAGATGCGATCACTGAAGTTCCAACACGCGAGTTCTACATTCTGGCCGATTTGCTTTTCGACGCTCTGGACCGGAAGTTTGAGCCAAAGAACACGGGCCTTCTAGAAGCACCAAAGATGATCGGAAGCTGGGTGAAATTGACCGAAGACGCGTGTCGTGAGTGTCTGAATTGCCGACAGATGATGCAAGACTAATGTGAAGTTAGATCTTTTTTCCTACAGGTCCTATAGCGCTTTTGCAAAGCTGTGGAGTCTCGAGGGTGTCCCCCACATCATGGTGCCCTGCCAATCCAACCTGACACCAAACTGGAACTTTAATCAACATTCGCATGGGCAGGATGCAAAAGTAATCGCTGATGTGCCAACGCCGATGACAACATACACAACGTACATGCCGGCTCTGAACCGGGCGGGATGGTACAAATTCTTCTTTCTTGAGATGATGCACGCGCCAGAAGATATCGGTGATTTGATGGCACTGTGCGCAGACACATATAAGCCGGGGGTGCTGAACCACCCCGACCTCAACAAGCGGGACAAAACAGAAATGCCAGCACTGCAGGCCAGAGCTGCAGAAATCCAGACATTTGCGATCGGGCGCGTGTGTGAGGAGACGAAGGCTGCGATGGCAGTCGACCCCGATGTTCTTCCGGCGCACACGCACTCTACCGCACCTACCTCGGGACCCACGCAGACTGGGGCAGGTATGACGCCACAGGACATGACGGTGAGCATGCACAAGATGCAGGCAGAGCGGCAGTTGAATGGCATGGCAGCCTGGAAATGGTAGGTTTGCAGGCGCGAGGTTATGGGGAAGGCAGTTTCGTGTAGAATGGGCAAACACAATGCGATGACGGCAATGCCGTGTAACCGTAAACGCTGCGCTGGCCATGGTGCGACGGAATTGAATGCCGATGGCGATGTTTGCCCAGATCTTGTCCTCGAGTGCCCAGAGGGCTAGCAAATTAGTGGGCAGGCATTGACAGGCGCAAGTTCCAACGTCGGCGCGGGTACCTGCCTTGGTGCCGGTGGCGGTGTGGGTGTAGAAGGCGCTGTCGCACGCACACGATGCGCTTTCCTGTGTCTTCACCATGCCCTACGTGGACAGCCCTGAGGCTCGTATTGTTCCCCAGGAGTTCTACGGGCGTCATCCCTATAGGGTGCATGGTCGGCCATGTTTCATCTCGGCAAGCGGTTATGATCTCAACGATAAACATGCAATCTACGCATTGACGTCCACGCGTTGGGCCTTGCCCGATTGAGCGTCGATCTGCAGGTACACCTTGCTTGTTGCGCCTTGGGCCTTGCTTTGTGTGGAAGTCGCGCGAGGGTTGCACCAACAAATAATTCTGGCCGGCCTCGCGTCCAGCCTCTTATCTTGCACCCTCCCATCGCCGCTCTTCTGCTATTCTTCACGACTTTGACGCTGCAAGCCCATATCACGAGTATCTTCTATCCCGCACTCTTCTTACTATCACGAGTAATACGATACGACATATTCTCCCATACTGTGGGTCTTAGCTTGTCAGGGATCCTCGACCGTCACCATGCGCACTTCCACCATCTTCGCTCCGCTTTTCCTCGCGGCCACTGGCCTCGCCCAGGCCGTCGAGGAGGGCATTGCTCCCGATGCCTCTGCGCCCGAGGGCTGCAAGACGACTGTCACGACGCCCTTCCGAATTGGCACACTCGAGAACCCCAGTCTCAGGAGGCGCGAAACTGCTCAAGAGGTATGCCGCTGCCTTGACCTCTTACTCGTAACTTCATACTAACACCATCACCAGGCATCTGACGGCGACCTCCTCTGCACTCTCGAAGACGGTATCCTCCACGACCAATACGGCCGCACCGGCTCCATCGTCGCCAACCAACAGTTCCAGTTCGATGGCCCTCCCCAGGCAGGCGCAATCTACACAGGCGGCTTCTCAGTGTGCGGCAACGACTCGCTCGCCATAGGAGGCAGCACCCGCTGGTGGCGCTGCATGAGCGGTGCTTTCGGCAACCTGTACGACTCGTGGATTGGCGACCAGTGCCACGAGATCCGCATCCAGGCTCTCTTCGACGAGACTGCCTCAAGCATGAGCAGCGACATGAGCATGTCGATGAGCAGCACCACCTCGAGTGCCCTGTCCGGATCTACTAGCATCATCTCCGCCAGCGAGACCAGCGGCCTCACCAGCGAGAGCAGGAGCATGCACTCCATGTCAACCGGCTCTGCTTTCTCCTCTGCCACACCCTTCTCCAACAGCGCGACTGCCACTGGCTCTGAGGGTGCCGAAGCCAGCGAGACTGGTGACGCCGCCGCTCCCCCTGCCGACGGTGCCGCTTCGTCCATCTCCATGGCTCCTTTCGCCATGGTCGGCGCGTCCATGGTCTTCCTCGGCGCTGCTCTCATTCTCTGAGCATGGCATTACACCACCGCGTTACTTCGAGAAACTTCTTCTTATTCCCGCGCATGGTATGGCAGGCTTCACATTGCCCCTGCATGTCCACCGCCTCGCCTCGCATTGCATTACTTCCACCGCATGTCTTCCCTGCATTAGCGAGCATGTCGCCGGCGCTTGTTGTTACTCTTCATGTTGATAGCTTGCGAGCGCAATGATTCGATGAGCTAGCTTTGGCGCATTTTTTGTTTATTATGGTTTGATGCAGCGCATGGTGTTTTGAGATATACACATTACGCATTCGGCATACCGAGCTTGGGATAGATTCCAGGCCTTAATCATAATACTTTGGAACATTTTGTCTTCAGATTGCTGGTTGATTGTGATGTCGTGTGACTGTAGATCTTTAAACGGATGTGTAGTGTAACCGAGGTGTTGTCATATACACATCACTTTGGTAATACACTGAGTGTACTAAAAGATCATCGAAAGGTGTACATGGCTTTATGGCTTGGCATCCTACACGGTTGGTAGTAATCACCACCAGCTGGGCACCTCGAAACACTGTTCAAACAACAGGCAAAATATTAGAAGTATATCTAGTCCACCGAAGATCATTCTCGCATCGAAAGAAGATAAATCATCCACCACGCCAGCCCGCCCGCAGACCCATTCCATCCCACATCTCAATCCTGCCATTACATCCCACCCCATCTGCCACTATTTCAAAAATCACTCCCCAGCTCATCAAAGCTATCATCCGGCACAGCCATCGCCACATTACTACTCTCCAACAACCCCCTCACCTTCTCCACCACCTCCCTCTGCCCCCGCCACTTCTCCACCATCCCCTCAATCTTACTCCTCAGCTCATCACTCCACGCCACAGGATTCCTCGGTATATTCTTCGCATTGCGAATCACAGCCGGCAGCAAGATATTCGTCTGGAAGCCAGGCATGTTCATGTAGGATTTGAATTCAGAGTATGTTTCGTCTAGGTTGCGGAGGGCGGATTCCATGGTTTGGTAGGAGGTGTGGAGGGTGTGGAGGTAGGTGAGTTGGGAGGAGGTGAGGGAGGCGGCGCGGCGGAGGAGGAGCAGTGTGGTTATGGCGTCGTTTTCGGTGGGGGTTAGGCTGAGGGGTGTGTGTTTGGGGGATGGGGCGCTGGCCCAGAGGGGTGGGAGGAGGCGCATGTGCCAGAGGATGCGGCTGTCGTCTTTACTGTCGGTGAGGGAGCGCATGAGGTGGGTGCGGCGGACGGAGCGGAGGCAGTCTTCGTGGTGGGAGAAGGTGTAGGGGGAGGCGGTTTTCTGGGTCGTGGTTGTCAGTATGTTCATACGAGCTGTTTTGGGGGCAGATGTACTTGTTCTAGTAGTAACCGGTATTGTCGCTCCGTCTTGAGGAAGCGGACGAGCATATCTTTCCACGCAACCCGTATCGATCCCGTGCGCAGGGTGACATCGACGTCGAAGTGCATTCGCCGCCATTCACACGGGAGATCCAGATCTAGGACCGCGTGGTCGAGCCGGATGCACCAGCGCAACGTCCCGAAATATTCTTCCCTGCGGCGCAACTGCAGTCGGACCAAGACACTATACCAGTCTGAGTCCGCGTCGTCAAGCGTATGGCCATCATTCGCTTCCGCACCGCCTACTCGCCTGAACGCGTCATACCACTCCTCTGCGATCTCAAAAACGGCGTGCGTCGCGCTCCACGCGGGTCGATTTGTCTCCGGGTCTGACGCAGTGTCCCACTCGACGTGCGAAAACCCTGCTTCGAGTAAATGGACCGACTCATACTGTTCGTCGTCCAAGTCCACCATGAGTCCAAAATCTCTCGCACCCATATACCCCACCAGCTCCGTCCTCTGCAGACAGCGGTATAGGACCCGTCCGTCGATCGCATCGCGAAAGCCACGGCAGACTAAACGCCAGTCGAGAATATAGTCCACAGGAACATGTTCGAGGATCTGGAGGAGCAGTTCTGCGGGGAGGTGCGCTAGCGTCCTGTTCGCAGAGGAGGGCGATCGGTCTTGGCTCGAGTCGATGGCGGTGATGAGCGCAGCGACATCGTCGGTGGAGAAGCCGAGCTGGATATGCCTGGCGAGGTAGGAAGGTAGGGGTGCGTTATCGTGGTTATCGTTGCTGGAGGAGGGGGCGTGGATGGGGAGGCCATCGGGCGCTCTAGCGCGCCCCCGTGACTGCGACATTAAAGTTGATCCCAGGTGTGGAGATGCGGGGATGCGCGATGGTTAGGGGATGGTGTGTGTTTTAGTCTCGGTCCGAATCAGAAGGCACGTGGTGTGGCACAGCGGCGCCAGCTGCGTTCCAAGGGATTACGAGATGTGTGCGACGACGCGATTCCCGTGATATTATCAGCGATGGCATTATTTCTGAGCGCTTACTTCCAATGGGTATATCGATATGAGTTTCACGATCGGTGACGCGGGTCTTGCCGCTACTCTCACGCTGGCCACCTGGGCATGCTTGCTTGATCACCGCAACACTCCCCCACCACATTCGGGAAATAGTAAACTTCAACATTCTGAAGCCTACATCGGCTTTAGGTCCTCTATTTCGCCTGTTTTTGATTGCACGTAGGCTGCAGACCTGTTAGGTTTCTTCCTGTGAGGTACCCCGACAGTCCTCAACCCACAACCCGCCCAGGAACGCGCACACGCGCGACATGAGTTAACCATCTCGCGTATGTTCGGCAACTCGAAAATGATCCTTAGACTCCAGAGCGGAGTCAGTGGGTCGGACCTTAGCTACTGATGGTTTAGTCCCAGCGGCTCGCCCGAGTGGGGTACATGTCTATCCTAGTTGTCAACGCGTATTCCGCAGCATCCTACGGATATGAACAGCCGTTCGACTTCCTACACAGAATGCAGGTGCATGAGGGAAAGCTGTCCCGATGGTGCAGTCATACATCTCAGCATGGCTTCCAGTCGATCTTTGGCTCGCTCAGCGCCTTCTACCCGCCATCCTCATCATACCGACCAACTCCTTGATACGATTTCAAGATGGCTCCCGCAGTCCGCCGACCCGTACGCGTGGGCGGTGCCTCAGGCGGCTTCTCCGACCGTGTTCGAGCCATCGCATCCCTCGCCAAAGACGACGTCGATGTCATAGTAGGGGACTGGCTCTCCGAAATGACCATGACCATGCATGGCACCGGAAAGCTCAGGAACAAGGAGCAAATGCTGCAAGCTCGCTCATTCGACGAGAAGCTCAACTATGCCATGTTCGCTGAGAACTTTATGGATTGCTTCACCCCTGCGATTCAGGATATAGCTACCCGCGGTATCAAAGTCTGTGTCAATGCTGGTGCATCAGACACGGAGCTGCTGGCTCAGCTTGTAGATAAGACGTGCAAGGAAGCTGGGTACCCACTGAAGGTCGCTTGGATTGAGGGTGATGATGTTACGGGTACTGTCAAGAGTATGTTGGCTAAAGGCGAGGGGTTCAAGAGTTTGATGCATGATAAATCGGTGTCTGAGTGGGGTCTAGAGCCTGTTTGCGCTCAATGCTATCTTGGTGGTTTGGGTATTGCCAGAGCACTGACGGAAGGGGCTGACATTGTCATCGCTGGTCGTGTCTCGGATGCTTCGCCCATCATTGGTGCCGCTGCATGGTGGCACGAATGGACGAGTGATCAATTCGATGAATTGGCTGGCTCTCTAGTCATTGGTAGGTCGTTTACAATCACATGTGTACGTTGTACTAATATTCGCAGGCCATCTTCTCGAATGTGCCGCATATGTATCTGGCGGTTACTGCTCCGACTTTCGGAGTCTCCTAGCCCAAGGTAAGCATATCAACATGGGCTTTCCGATCTGCGCAATCGACAACAAAGGCGAGGGGGTGATGTACAAGGAGAAGAATACTGGTGGCTGTATGACAGTCAACTCGGTAACATCTCAACTTCTCTACGAGATCCAAGGCCCACTATACTACAACTGCGACGTCACCGCAGACCTGACCGACATCAGAATCGAACAGATCGGCGAGGACCAAGTCAAAGTCTCCGGCATCAAAGGCCTCCCACCACCCCCAACAACCAAAGTCGGCATCACAGGCTTCGCGGGCTGGCAAGCCGAATACCACATCTATCTCGTCGGCCTGCACATGGAAGAAAAGTGCCAATGGATCGAAGAGCAAATCCGGTACGAATTGGGCCCAGAGCTGATCAAGAAGTTCGACGTCCTGAAATTCATGCAAAACGGGTCCTCCGTCATCGACGCTCGCAACCAAGACGTCGCCACGGTCGACTTCCGCGTCTTTGCCCAGTCTCGAGACAGAGAGCTACTCAACATGCGCAACCCCAAAGGCTTCTTTCGCATCTCCATGGTAAACTTCCTCATGTCGTGTCCGGGCGCGTCACTGGGTAACGACGTGCGGCAAGCAGAGGGAAAACCATACTACGAGTACCATCCCTCGCTTCTTCCGCAGTCAGCCGTTAAACAGCGTGTACATTGTATCTGGGACGGTGAAGCCACGAATGGCTTCGCAGATGGCAAGAAAGTGATCGGCATGCCCCTCGCACCCGAATTTCGCGAGTATCCCCGTCAACAACCCTCCTACGAAACTACATCACCCATCCCACTCTCCCACTTCGGTCCCACCATCCGCCTGCCCCTCGGCTCCATCGTCCTCGGTCGCTCCGGCGACAAGTGCTCAGACGCCAACGTCGGTTTCTTCGTCCGCCACACCGATGAATGGGAGTGGTTACGGAGCTTCCTCACCATCGATAAAATCAAAGAATTGCTAGGGCCAGAGGAATACAAGGGCAAACCGATCGATCGCTTTGAAATGCGGAATGTAAAGGCGGTGCACTTTTTGTTGCATGATCATTTGGATCGTGGGTATGATGCTTGTAGTACGTATGATACGTTGGGCAAGAATGTTTGTGAGTATCTCAGGGCGAGGAGTGTGGAGTTGCCGGTTAGGTTTGTGGAGAGGGGTGTGCTGTAGATTGTGGTAGAACGTAATACACGGTGCTGGCATATCATGGTGCTTTCAGCTTTTTCAACCAGAATCGACATATCAAGGCTATGGAAGAATTTTGACCTTGATATGTCGATTCTGGATGGAACCTCGGAAAGCAGCATAAGCGAGAAGAGCGCCATTGCTTTCGATTATGAATCTCTTACATCACTATCGTGTCTTTTCATTTTAGATGTTGTGTATTGATTTAAGCTTATCCCAGAGACATGGTAACCCAAAGACATGATATCCCAAAGACATGATGTTTGCCCCTGGCGCTTTCGAAGTTTGAGAGCCGCTACTCAATCCCTTTGCTCTCATGCAAATGTCGAAATGCTTCTTTTGACATCCCTCAACCAAGATGCTGGTGCGCCCGCATGAGTCGTTTTACCGTCCTTTTTGAAGTCAAGAAAGCCTCCTCATCATGTGGAAGAACGGTCAGGTTTCAATCTGGGAAAGCGCAAGTTCCATATTTGTAGGCTTCTATGTTTTTATTTTTCGCTAACAGGAGAGCGCAGCCATCATGAAGGCCGCGTTTGCGTTTTTTGTTCTTTGAGAAAATAGGTGGTATTGTTGTAGAGAAAGAGTACCGCGTGGACGGACAATTTATACAGACCGCAGTGGCCCAAGCTTCTGGGTAGTCCGCCGAGTACCGGTGTTGCAGTCATGGTGACTGATGTACATGTTTTGGGTAAAAGTGAGCTTCTTTTGAACTGGCGGAAGCCCGAGAAGACGCCATGTCTACGACTGTGTTTAGTTTTGTAGCCATATGAAGAGACATCGTGTGGATTCTGGGGTTTTTGATAGTAAGAAAGATTCCACGAGTAGAGGGAAAAGTATGGAAGGTGTTTGTGACGACTTTTGGATATTGAATCGACATCAGAGACTCAACCATGTCTTTTCTGGGTTGCATGTACTGTCGTGAGGACTATATGTACAGTATTTGCGGAGAACCATTTGTAGTGAATGGGGGTGTCTTTGGCATTGCGAGAGGTCTCATGCAAGCTGGTCGATAACCCTTTTTTTTTTGGAAGAAAGGCGCAGAGCGCAGAACACATAAAACTTTCTCATTCCAGTTTTGGTTTTGTGGAGAGAAGAAGTGGTGATGAAGAGACTGGAAGGGAATATGCGAAAGGTCTGACTTTATATGAGTGTCTGTGGTGGGGCGCAAGTGGTCCTGGCCGGAAACCACATCTACGGTCTGAAGCTGCCGCCCACCATCACCAGTGATGCTGTCAAGAGAACATGACGCCCAAAAGATCACTTTTTGTAAATGGAGGGATGAATATTGCAATTTTGCTCATTTTCGCTTCCAGGCATGGCGATCGTTCGATGGGGCCACTGGCGCCAGAGCTCAATCAAAAGAGCCTTGGGTAAAATCATGGAGTAGTCGCGAACATGTTTCGTAGTGGCAGATGCCTCGTAATTACCCAAGTCCGAAAAGACACCAACACTCGTCAAAGTCGCGAAAGGCACAAAGTAAGTCGTGACGGCAAAATGACGCGCCCATGATGCAAGCGCGGCCAGGCGCACTGACCTGCACCATTCACACCAGCCTTACGGACCCTCGTCTGCTACTGAAGATAACGGAAGGTCGGTCGAGTCTCGTCTCGAGTTCCAGCCACCAAGACTCTCCAGAAAATCGTGCCGCATCGATCCACCGTTGCAGGAATGTTGCCCATGTCACCGGAACGGGCGTCCGCGCTCGCGTGCAAGCATGGCATTCATCAATACCGATGACAAAAACCGCGTGTAACACGCTCAAATCCGATCCAACTTACCCACTTGTTTCGGTAGCGACATCCAAAACCCTTGTCTCTCGACTTGTGATTGATAGTTGATTGGCACGCGGCCCAGTTCGCCGCAGCACATCCCCACGACGCCAAGGACCCTTAAATCCGACTATCGCTTTTCGCACACCACCATACCAAGCATAGACTGCAGCGGTACTCAATGCCAGCCAATATACTATGGCCTACAACATAATTGTGGTCGACGGGACGCCTAGCGGTTTCAATAAATGCTGCATGCGGTAGGTGTGGAAAGTAGGAGGATTGCAGCGGAGAGAAAGGCCGAAGATGGGGTTGCTGCTTTGAGTATGAAGAGGGTGGGTGTGGATTATAGGACGAGGCCGCGGAGGTAAAGGCCGCTTTTCGTTTTCTACTTGGAGTAGGAAGAGGAGAGGTGTTGAATGTAGTGAAATCGCGGTGTTTTGCTCCATCCA